TTAAATTTATTCAAAAACAATTAGAATTTTGACAAAAATGTTGATAACATGAAATACTTGGTCTCTCATTTCCGTGCTCTGTACAATGCAATGAAATTAACGGATGGAGAAATAAATAATTCGAATGATATGAAAAAAATAATTGTAATTTAACTTACCTTTTAATTGGGCCAGGGGCTGCGCAATTAAATTCGACATCGAACACAACATCACCCCGTATATACACGGCTTACCGCGCCGATCGCCTTCCATAGATCGCAAATAGAAATTAAACTACAGAGTTGGGCAAAAGTCCGGAATAAAATTATTATCTTTTGAACCAGTAATTTAAGCAAAAAACGCTGAAACACGTAAATTGATTTTATATTGGACGGATTTGTTGCCAATAAAATGGTTTTTTTTTCTTCAACCCCTTAGTTGCAACCCTACCCAACTCTATTTTTTCAAATGCAAAGGTATGTCGTGTGTAGGGTCATTGAAAAGCCCGTGAAAAATGGAATCTAAAACATACTTTTTTTTTATTTTTTCTCATGTTGTCATTTGGAAATAGGCAAAAATTTCTTTTAAAAACAAATACCTTTTTAGTGTTATCGACGTAGCAATGTTGAAAATGTCCTTCACCATCTATACTTAACAGGCTCCCAGGTATTGGTTAAACGTAATATCGATAGCATATCTTTAATTCTGAATGACTTATTAATAAAAACAGGCGAACCTTTGGTAAAAAAAATTGTACAAAAATCAACACCTTTTTTCCTTTTTGAAGTTCACGCTTAGAATTTAACCCTTTTTATGTTTTAGTTTTTTCTTAAAACATAAATTAAAGTTGCCTTATCAGTTTTAAACGGAAAATCAATAAAATTTGGTGTGCTGCCTGTCCAGGTACGCCTGTTTTTAATAAAAATTCATTCCGAATTAAAGATAGGCTACCGATATTAGGTTTTACCATTGCCTTGGAGCCTGTTAAGTAGAGAGTGGAGGACATTCCCAACATCTGCTACTTTAATTCACACGTCGATAGCACTAAAAAGGTATTTGTAACATATTTGTTTTTAAAAGAATTTTTTGCTGATTTCTCAATAACCACATGAGAAAAAGATAAAAAAAGGTATGTTTCAGATTCCATTTTTCACGGGCTTTTCAATGACCCTACACACGACATACCTTTGCATTTGAAAAAATAGAGTTGGGTAGGGTTGCAACTAAGGGGTTGAAGAAAAAAAAATCATTTTATTGGCAATAAATCCGTCCAATATAAAATCAATTCACGTGTTTTAGCATTTTTTGTTTAAATTACTGGTTCAACAGATAATAATTTTATTCCGGACTTTTGCCCAACCCTGTATAAACACCGGCCGCTGCCCGAAACGACTAAATCCACCAGCAATTTACCCGAGCGATGATACCCGACGACGATCCCGCTCCGGTCTCGTTCGATGTGACGTCACACGCGCCGTCACGCCGGCCGGCCGGCCGGGAATGGGCTCGTTCGACACTTTTTTTTTATTTGCTTTTTGGAAAGACCACACAATTTTAAGTCACTATGCAAAAAATCAGAATTAAATTCCATGTAGAAGTCACTTAAAAAGGCCTTAAAAACCGTCGCGCTGAGCGTTCGCTCGAATTGACTGTGACGTCACTGCATGCGTTGCGAGAACAAATTTGTAATATAGGCTGTCGATTGATAATATTGAAACGCGTTTTTAGGGTTTTATAGGCTTAGGGAGTTTTAAATAATGACGGACAATAAATCAAAAAATAGTTATAAATATTGCATTGTTCCCAAATGTCGAAGCACTAGTTTTAAGACGCCTAATAAAGGCGCCTAAATACCTAAATAAGACGCCTTCCGCGCGATTTAAGAAAAAACAAATTGTGGCAAAAATCAATGAAAAGAAGTATATGTTGGTTAGCACAAAGTCAACACATTTTGTCTGTGAAGATCATTTTAATATAAGTATTAATTATAATAATTAGCTTGCTTAGTAAAAATAATTAAATTTTTTTAATTTAAAAAATTACATGTATTTTAAAACAATGGCTAATTCCCAATAAAGCAAGATGTTGTACCTAATATCTTCGACTGCCAAAAATGCCACTGTACAAGCAAGAACAATATTTTTAAAAAGACAGCGGTAAACTACTATCGAGGATTTATCAACCTACTTGTTCTAAAAGTACTCGGAATGAACAGAACGATGATATGGATGATGAGAATTTGACAATGGATAAAAATTTAAACAACACTATTACAAATAAGGCCTGTCATAAAAAATTCAAGTTTATATAAACATAATGCCCAAACTTTTTTCAAAACAAGCTTAATGTGATTTGACTCGTTCGGGACAGTTACCATATGATTTTACTTATAGTAAATTAGATGACACTCTTCCTATTTCTTCAAGTGATTCTTCAGAATTTGTGACTACTTGATCGGGATCATTTCTTGTTAATTCTGAGTCAACTTGGTCTAATGAAAAAGAGAACATTATAAAAAGGGTAATGCATGTTATAGAGCAAAATCCAAAACTTACATAGGTAGGTATTAGTTATTATTTAGGTATTCCTAAATATTTTTACGAATATAATCTCATTAATCGATAACCAAAATATTATACATACAATTAGCATTAATTATTTATTATAATTACCCTATACAGTGCATTTCTTTAATGCCCCCCCCCCTTTTATTTTTTGAACGGATCAACTTAGAAAATTGAAATTTGGGATAATGAAACTAATGCATGATTACTATATTTTGGAGTAAAATTGACAGACGAAAATTTCAAGATGGCGACTGGGCGCCATCTTGGAAAATAAATTTAAATGGAAAGGGGGGTCTTGTGATACATCATTTTGAAGCTCCTGACAAATACTCTACAACCCTGAAATATAAAGTCAATATCTGCACCTGCTACAAAATGGCGGACATTTAATAATTACCTGAATAAATCGACGTTTAACGTCATAATTTGAGGAAATAAGCTGAGTTCTGTTGAAAAAAAGCTCGAAATGGTTGCCTTGAACTTCTTGATACAAGAACAGCCTATCCGAACATTTTCGAACATAGTAACGTCGATATTTTTACAAATATCTGTAATTATTTCTCGTATATCCAATATTGAAGCAGGTATAGTTTCGTACACATTTTGCTTCAAATAGCCCCATAAAAAAAAGTCTAAAGGTGTCAAATCTGGTCAAATTCTGGTCAAATCCATTCCGTAGGACCTCGACGACCAATCCAACGATCCAACGACCAGGGAAAATAGCATCCAAATAGTTCATTACTTGTCTGGAGTAATGTGGTAGTGCTCCATCTTCCAATGGACGAGAATTGGCCATTTTAGAGTTAGTTGACGTGCTACCTAACTGCAATGAGAACTAAACAACCGAAAACTAAATGAAAATACTTTGAACACTAGGAAAATCGAAAACTAAAGAGAATATTTTGAACACTAGGAAAATCAAAAACTAAATGAGCATATTTTGACTAAACAATTAATGTTCGTTGTCGTACTTAAATTTTTTGGATTTTTTTTAACCAAAAATAACCTGTCAAACCTTATCGGTTTGCTGGGATTGCTGTTTGCCATAGAAAAACAAATATTTCTAGAAAAATTGATATTATTTTGTTTGTATTCAGGTAATTATTAAATGTTCCGCCATTTTGTAGCAGGTGCAGATATTGAGTTTATATTTCAGGGTTGTAGAGTATTTGTCAGGAGCTTCAAAATGATGTATCACAAGACACCCCTTTCCATTTAAATTTATTTCCCAAGATGGCGCCCAGTCGCCATCTTGAAATTTTCATCTGTCAATTTTACTCCAAAATATAGTAATCATGCATTAGTTTCATTATCCCAAATTTCAATTTTCTAAGTTGATCCGTTCAAAAAATAAAAGGGGGGGGGGACATTAAAGAAATGCACTGTATAATCAATTAAACATAGTCGTTAAAAAGACGAAACGATCGCGAATGCAATGCAAGTTAAGTAAATGCGAAGCGGACAGCAGAGAGATCGCATGCAGTGACGTCATCATCGTACTATCGCGGAGACAAATAATCGCATCTTTAAACTCGAATAATCAAAGAACCGCTGATCGGATCAACTTGAAACTTTCAGTAACCATTTTTTTTTGACCTCTTCTTTATGTATATAAAGTTTGATCAAATTCTAAATTTTATCGAATGAGCCCATTCCGTTTTACCGTCCGGTGCACCGACAAAGTTTTTTTGCTGGCCTCTTCTTCGATGCCGTACATCTTGGCGTATTTGATGCTGTCCCGGTTCGGGAACCCTTCCAGGTTGAAACCAGGTAGGAAGTTCAACGGTCTGGCCGCTCGCATCAATTCGCCCCCTTTGCTGATTTCCACGATCTGACCTTTCCTCGAATACCTAGCAGTAAACGGAAATTAATTTAGATGGAAACGGGCCGGGAAATCCCCAACCAACCTAGCAGATCCGACCGTGTTCAATAGGGCCCCTCTGTGCGACCAAGAGAACTTGTACCGCAACGGATTGTCGCTGTGCTCGGGCGCTGTCAGGCCGCCGCAGAACGATTCGAACGATCTGCATCTAAATCGCTTTAAACAATTTTTTTTACAAAAAAAAAATCACGCCGCCCATGGTAAATAGAAATTAAAATATAAACACCCGCCGCTGGCCCGAACCGACGAAATCCACCGGCAATTTACCCGAGTAAGTACCCGAGCGATGGAAAAGCGACCACGATCCCCGCTCCTTCCGCGGCCGACCGGGAATATTTTTCTACCGTACTCCGGTGCATCGACAAAGTTTTTTTGCTATAACTCCGAAACGGGTTAAGATATCGTTATCGGGTTTGTTTTGTTAGTTGCACGAAACTTGAATTAATAATTTTGAAAGAATACATTTTTTTCGAAAACCCGACAGTTTCCGAGTAAACGGAGTGTATTTATAAAAAATTTTAATTTCGGCAAATTTTCATTTCCCTATAACTTGGTGAAATAGAAATTTGAAGAAATGCGATTTGCGTGAAAAAATGGCAAAAAAATCAAAGAATATACGGTGAAAGTTTGAAAAAAATCGTTAATGTAGTTTCGGAGATATAGGTCTAAAATGCCAAAAAAGTCGTAATTTTAACAAAAAATCCGGTTTTTCACCCGGAAGGAAACTTTTCCGGGTTTCGAAAAGTCGATATTTCGATAGATCTCGTCGAGTTACGTAGGATAGAATTTTTTTCCGATTTTTTCGCCCCCAAATAAAGCCGTAAAAAAACACGCCAATCAGTCAGTGAATGTCGGTTTCGGTTGTATAGTTATTGAGAAACTCGTAACGATTAGTAGGCTCAACTAAACTCTAGCATACTGGTGACGTATTCCCCCCCACTTTTGCCAGCAAAGTGAGGTAACCGTCTTATTCTACAAACCGTGCTATTAGTTAATAGTTTTAGTTTTTATAAACACGCAAAAACTGAGTTTCTCCATCGATATTTACAGATTTATAAATTACATTTTATAAAATGTCTTCTAAGTGGACTAACTGGAGAGAACCTTCTAAAAACTTGCCCTCCTGTTCAACAGAAGAAGTAGATGAATTTGTTTCTACAAAATTTAACAAACACCAGAAGAAAATTAACGTTTTATCGGACAGCGAAGATGAAGATGCTCAAGAATATATCGAAGATGATGATGAAGATGTCGACGATGCTGATAGAGAAGGTAGTGATGAAGATATCACAGGAGAAAATTATGAAAATGACGATAATGATGTAACGAAGAAACCAAGAGAAAATATTAGTAATAATTCTGCTGAAGAAAGTAATGACGAGGTGTCGCTCCCAGACAGTTTTATTCAAGTAAGTTTACTGAACACTCATTACACAGCGTTTTTATTTATTTATTTACCAGGAGAAATAACCGGAAGTAGGCGTCAACTTTGTTATTTCAAATGGAACACCCTGTATATTGATGTATTTTTGAAAACTACATAAAATTGTAGGGTACTTTTGTCTAAAACACTTTTTTCAAAAATTCATACTTTTTGAGTTAATTTTTTTTCTGAAAAATTTGACCAAAGCAGGCCCTAATAAAATATTTTTTATGAGGATCCCCTTAAAGATATGGAAAAAATATCTAATTTCTTCGTTTTTTTTAATGGAAACACCAGTTATTTTATTTTAAAGAAATCAGCGATAAAAAATAAGTTCATATTTATCTCCCTATACCTAAACCTAATAGTTTTGAAGATATTCAAAATTTTACTTAAAACTTACTTTTCAAACTAATTCTTAAATAACTCGGTTTTACAAGTTGGCCATGTAATATCCTACAAGTACCAAAATTAACAATCAGTAAATCAAGAAGAATTTACATGGCCAACTTATAAAACCTATTTAATTGAGAATAAAGCAGAAATGTAAGTTTTATGAAAAATTATTATCTTCAAAATTTGGATCATTATAAACGACTGGCAGATAATTCAAAATGCTAAAATCATTTTTCAAATGTGAATCATGCTAGCACCCCCACCACGACTAAATTGAAAAAAAAGTAGCCCATAATTAGGAGCTAATTAAGGGCTAATTTGTACCACAAAAATTAAAATTAGTACCACCGCGATATATGGAGAAAAACTGCATTGAAAATGAGGGGTGCTAGCTTGAGTTCAAGGCAGCACCCCCACTTTGTCCGAATTCAAAATCACATGCATCAAAATAAAGGGGATATTAAAGGCTAATTTGTACGACAAAAAGTTTTTTTTTATATTTATTAATAACGTCAAAAAATAAAATAGTGAATATACGATATTATAGAATTAATTACAGGCAAATTTGTACCACGGCAGAATTTTTTACATTTTCCAATAAAAACTCAATTCAAGTTTTAAGCGCAATTTAAGTTTAAAGCTTGAAGAGACGACTTTAAAGGTGATTTATTAAAGGAGCTGGGTTAGTAAAAATTCTGTAATTGTAGGTATAAGTTTGAATCATAAATGAAAAACACAAATTAAACAAATAAAATAAGACCGAATTATATATTTTGAATCCGAAACACCGTTTTTAAAAAATACAACTTTATTGTTAAACAATGTATCGAACCCAATGGTTCTGAAGTCTGAAGAAGAGTGAATTAAAATTAACAAATCAAGAGCTAAATTCAAATAAAATGATTACATATTATAAAATACAAAGAACAAAGAAAATTAACAATAAGCATTCCTTGGATATCTCCTAGATTTGACCGCACGTTCTTATCTATGAAACCTTGCGTTTTCTTCACACGTAACTACCGGTACGTTTTTATAGTGGATAAAACCTCTTCAAGTCGTTGTTGCACAATGGTTTGTGGGATAACCCAAACAAAATTTTTGTGAACAACATAAAATTTATTATGTGGTACAAATTTGCCTTTAATTAGTTGTAAAATGTTGCATATTCACTTTTACAATTACATTATTTTTTACATTCATGCGTCACACACAATGTCTCTTCAAGAATTATATATTTTGAATCCGAAATACCGTTTTTAAAAAATACAATTTTATTGTTTAACAATGTATCGAACCCAATGGTTCTGAAGTCTGAAGAAAAGTGAGTTAAAATTAACAAATCAAGAGCTAAATTCAAATAAAACGATTACATATTATAAAATATAAAGAACAAAGAAAATTAACAATAAACATTCCTTGGATATCAGCTAGATTTGACCGGACGCTCTTATCTATAAAACCTTGCGTTTTCTGCACAAGTGACTCAAGCTATCGTTTTAAACGTAAATTTCAATTGAATTGAATTTACATTGAAAATTATAAAAAATTCTTATGTGGTACAAATTTGCCTTTAATTAGTTATATGTATGTCCTCAAATTATGACGTTAAACGTCGACATGTTCAGGTAATTAATAAATGTTCCGCCATTTTGAAATGGGTGCAGATATTGACTTTATATTCCAGGGTTGTAGAGTATTTGTCAGGAGCTTCAAAATGATGTATCACAAGACCCCCCTTTCCATTTAAATTTATTTCCCAAGATGGCGCCCAGTCGCCATCTTGAAATTTTCATCTGTCAATTTTACTCCAAAATATAGTAATCATGCATTAGTTTTATTATCCCAAATTTCAATTTTCTAAGTTGATCCGTTCAAAAAATAACAGGGGGGGGGGACATTAAAGAAATGCACTGTATAAAAAACTTTTTGTGGTACAAATTAGTCTTTAATATCCCCTTTATTTTAATGCATTTGATTTTGAATTCGGACAAAGTGGGGGTGCTGCCTTGAACTCAAGCTAGCACCCCCCATTTTCAATGCCGTTTTTCTCCATATATCGCGGTGGTACTAATTTTAATTTTTGTGGTACAAATTAGCCCTTAATTAGCTCCTAATTATAGGCTACTTTTTTTTCATATTAGTCGAGGGGGGATGCTAGCATGATTCACATATTTTTCAAGTAATAATTTCAAATGCATAATAAGAAAATAAATGTTCGGTTAAAAATCAACATGCCCGGTTAAATAATAAATATCCACCTATGTGAACTTAGCACCCGACTTAAAGATAAAAAAAAATGAAATTATATTATTGAAAAGATAATCGTTTGTACCCTTTTGTACCGCCTTTTTTTTCGTTTGTACCTCAAGGGTAAAAAAATAGTTGGTGTCGAAAAATTGGTCAGCACCCCACTTCATTTTTTTTTATTTTTCCAATAGCATTTAAAAGAGCATCGTTTGTATCCGTTTGTACCACCTTTATTTTTGTTTGTACCTTAAAGGTAAAGAAATTAGGGGGTGTCGAAAAATTGGTCAGCACCCCACTTACTTTTTTTTATTTTTTAAATGGCATTTAAAAGAGCATCGTGTGTACCCTTTTGCGCGGTAAAAAGAAAATATGCTAAAATAATCTAAATTTTTCAGACGATAAAGAAAATGTATTTACAGATAATGAGGTAATGGTAGAAAGTGAAAAAAGTGTTGAAAATATTTTTTTAAATGAAGTAGAAAATTGGAAAGTTAAAAACAACGGTCTGATTGAAAGGCGCGGTAAATATTTAAGAAGTTGTCCAAATATTGAAAATTTACATTTAAAAAAAAGTCATTGAAACCGTTAACCGTATTAGAAAATGCATCTTTATTGGGCCCTCAATTAACCAATGGGAAATACAGAGTTGGGCAAAAGTCGGGAATAAAATTATTATCTTTTGAACCAGTAACTTAAATAAAAAACACTGAAACACGTAAATTGATTTAATATTGTACGGATTTGTTGCCAATAAAATGATTTTTTTCTTCAACACCCTTAGTTGCCACCCTACCCAACTTTATTTTCAAATGCAAAGGTATGTCGTGTGTAGGGTCATTGAAAAGCCCGTGAAAAATGGAATATAAAACATACCATTTTTTTTATTTTTTCTCATGTTGTTATTTGGAAATGGACAAAAATTTCTTTTAAAAACAAAAAAAAGTTACAAATACCTTTTTAGTGCTATCGGCGTGTGAATTAAGGTAGCAGATGTTGGAAATGTCCTCCACCTTCTAATGTAAATATGGGCCCGTATTAAGCGCCTCTGTTTAACTTTAGAGTGACTCTAAAGTCGCGTCTTTAACTTGACAGATTTACATTGTTGTTATGGAGTAACTAGGGACTCGAGACAGGACTTTAGAGTTATGCTAAAGTTAAACAGAGGCGCTGAATACGGGTCATTGTATCTGTTATCGGCTATTTTAATTTTAACGTGCACAAGAATTTTAAAAGTAATTTTCTGTATAAACGGTTCACTTTACGGAAAATCATCAAGTATACCTTTTTTATGTAGAAAACTTCATTTTTTCATATTATTTAAACAAATCATTAGGAAAGGTTAAAATAAAAAAGTTAGGTTAGAATTACCCCACGACATCCCCATTTTAACCCACCCCTGGATAACTTTTTTAACCCGATTGTATGATACCGTAAGGCATTTTATTTGTTTAGTATATGCACCAAATTTCTTCATTTTAGCTTTACTATTAATGGACTTATTAATAAAAATACCTCTTCGAGAATCCATCTTTAACACCTTGTATACTAATAACCAAGGACAATTTGAAAAAATTACATTTAAGTTTTTATCATATTTTGAGGTTCTCTACTTGCTCTCAAAGTTTGACCACTTATTTCAGAATCACCCTGTATGATTACTAAATGTACACATGATAAATTAATAAATATTTTCATAATTTGCTACAGATAACATTGTTTTATTGAATCTTACAATCTTGCGCTCTTATTGAAACACGATATTAATCTGACGTTACTTAAGTATACTTGATGTTTTTGTCTTTTCCTTGGTATATGAATGTACCATTTTACACGAAAGATTAAATTTTTTTTTCATTTGCGTCTTTAACTATATCTTTCATGGTAGTATTTTCGTACTTGATACCAACAACTTTTATAATGGGGTTCTTGATTGATTCTTTTTTGACACTACGAGTATTAGGTACCCGTTGTGTAACATTTTTTCAACCATATTAGCACTCCTCATTCATACAACGAATAATAATTTCTTCTGAATCAAGTTCAATTGTAATGAAATTTTTTTATGATATTCAGGACACTGAGGACATTGACCTAACGGCGCCGCCCGAAGGATTGACAGTCGAATTGAAGGTGCACCAGAGGAGCGCGTTGTCTTGGTTGATCTGGAGAGAAACTCAGAAACCTCCCGGTGGTAAGGGTCGTGTTCATAGACCTATAAAGTATGGACGCGGCTTTATCGGTATTTTGAGTTTATTCAGCGTTCCCAATGATAGACAGAGAAGTCCGTGAGAGATGGAGCTAGTTTGGGCTAAAAGTAGGCGGGACCAAAAAAAAATATAAAATATATACAGGGTGTGTGGAAAAAGGCGATTAATCTGTTAAATTATTTATACGCTTAATATTTAAATATTCTTTTTATCTTGGTATCCACTTGGACAGATGAATGACCTGGAAGAAACATATTTTTTACAAGAGAAAGCAGCTAGGTCTTAAATTGCGAAATCTGTACTGGCTAATAGCTAGGAGGTTCCAAGTAACAATACAAAATAAGAACTGTATTTGCCAATGCGTGGGAATTTAGGCTCAGCTGAAAAATGCATTTTGCTCGGTAAAAAAAATAAATCCTCAACCCTATTCTACTATAAGCTACCCTCCTCTACCCCAGCTACCATGTATTTCTGAAAACGTAACTCACGTGGTCTTTTGCTTTCTTACTATTGGCTAAAGCATTGTCCAATCTCTCATTGCCATATGCCCAAACTAGCTGCATCTCTCTCATTCATCGACAACACTACCTCTTTGTCTACGAGCCCTAACAACTAAATGTTCGGACAAACAGTAATTTATTGAAAACGTTAAATTATTAAATTGAAGAATTACATTAACAATATATTAAAATCTATTATTTATAATAAACATTTAAAAGGTTTGGTTCCTAAATACATTGAAATTCAGTGTGTTTGAATAAATAAACCAAAATTATGCAAAATATCGTGACAACTAAATGTTCGGAAAATTTACAGAATTATTATTTTAATATGGCGTTACATCGCCACGCGCTTTTATAACCGCTGCAATCCTATCTGGCATTGTTTTTATTAACGCTTGACATAAATCAAGGTCAAAACTTTGCCATAATTCATCCAGTTTCTTCTTTAAATCGACAACGGTTCTTTGGGGATCATCACGCAATTTTTATTTCATTTTATGCCATAATGTCTCGATGAGGTCATTAAGGTCCGGACTATTCGAAGGTCATGCGAGGACATTAATGTTATTATCCCCAAACCATTTTTTAGTAGTTTTCGCAGTATGGCATGGAGCACCGTCCTGTTGGAATATAAAATTCATGTCCGGGTAAAGAGCTTCTGCGCTTGGCACAAGACTATTTTTTAAAATTTCCTGATATTTTGCCGCATTAATTGTGCCTTCTACCACTTCATACCTTCCTAGACCCAGTGCGGACATGCACCCCCAAATCATGATGCCTTTAGGAAATTTTACTGTCCTTTTAAGGCAATCTTTATGAAATGCTTCATTTTTGGTTCTAATAACCCGTTTACGAAAGTCTCCCACACACACGTCAAACTTCACCTCGTTACTAAATATGACTTTGGACCAGTCTTCAACTGTCCATGACATCTTCGATTTTGCCCAAATAAACCGATTTTTTTCTGTTTTTCTGTTAGTAGAGGTTTTTCTTTCGCCTAAAGCATTACGAATAATAAAAAATCACGATTTAATAAAATCTTTTAAACCGACCTTATAAAAACTAAGTCCTGATTTGTGTATCCACTTTCTACAGCACTCTCTCGATAAAGTCTTTCCTGTTTCTGCATTCCACTCTGATGTAATAGCCCTTAAAGTGTTGCGACGACCCCGTTTGCAAATTTTTACCAGTATTCTTCGATCCCTATCAGACACACTTCTCGGTCTTCCCGAATTTTTGCCTTTAGTTTGGAGACTTCCACTCTCACGATAGTGCTTAAGTATGTCCCCAACTGTCGACTTAGCCAAATCTAATTCATCCGCTATTTCGCGTATTTTTTTACTGACAATATTTTTTTTATTATCAATTGACGAATTTTTACATTTGTCGCACTTCCTCTGGCCATTTTGGACTAAATTTATCGGAATTTTTTGCAACACTATTTCTAACTAGTAACTGTCAATTAATTACCAACTTAAAATAAGTAAACAACAAAGTTATGTATTTTATACACGGTAACTAGATAAATCCGAACATTTAGTTGTCACGATATTTTGCATAATTTTTGTTTATTTATTCGCACACAGTGAATTTCAATGTATTTAGAAACCAAACCATTTAAATGTTTATTATAAATGATAGATTTTATTATATTGTTAATGTAGTTCTTCAATTTATTAATTTAGTTTGTGTAAGTTAACGTTTTCAATAAATTACTGTTTGTCCGAACATTTAGTTGTTAGGGCTCGTAAACCGCGTCCATAGTTAATAGGTCTATGGTCGTGTTCAAAAAATGGCTCATTAAACTCGATTAATTTTGACATACTACACTGTCTCGTAAATATTCCAGGCATCCTAGCTGATGATATGGGTCTAGGGAAAACCTTAACGATGATCTCGTTGATATTAAAGAGCAGAGAACTCGATCGAAACGATAACGATGGGAAAACTCGACGTTCTAGTAACAAAGACAAAGGCGGTACTCTTGTAGTGTGCCCGGCAAGTCTCCTATATCAATGGTCCAAAGAGCTGGTTCAAAGGACCGAAGATGGACTGTTATCGTTCAATTTACACCACGGCCCCAAAAGGGAAACTAATGCCAAAACGCTCGCCGAATACGACGTGGTTTTCACTACGTACAAGCTGGTGAGCGGCGAATTTGAAAAGAAAGGACCTTTGTTTAAGGTGGAATGGTCGAGGATAATCGTCGACGAGGCTCATGAAATTCGGAATTACAAATCCAAAACGAGCAATGCCGTTTGCGAATTGCATTCGAAATTTCGATGGGCCGTGACGGGTACTCCTGTACACAACAAGGAATCAGATATGTACGCGCTATTGAAATTCTTAAGATATAGCCCGTTCGATGATTTGACCGTTTGGAAGAGATCGATCGGCGACAAGTCGGAAGGAGGCTACGAACGATTGCGTACGGTAAATAGTTTTTTTTTTATCTTCGTGCTTCTTTCCAAACCTTTTTATCTCGTCCTTAACCATTGGAATGTCAAGGTTCTTATGTATGTCTCTGGCAGTTTAATATACAGGGTGGCACATTAGTATGGAAAAGCTCAATATGCAGGGTGTAAACGATATGATAGTCATTATTGGAATGGGTGATAGAGAATGTCAAAACAAGTCAAAAGTTCATATGGCTTTTTTCGCAAAACTCAATATATTTTTGTCTAAATGACTTTAAAGTTAAAAACTTTAAATGCTTATATCTAACAGAATCTTACGAATATTTATGTGTAACTGTATTTATTTTAAAATATGTTCATTTCTAAATAAATCAAAAGTAGTTTTTCAAAATTTGGCCAAAAATCTCAAAAAATTAAGATAAAAAATTCCCTTAAGTTAAAATTTAAAAAACACATGGCAACAGCGCAATGCACGGTCCAGCTCGTGAATAATAGAGAGAGCGCGAATCTTTGCCTAAACCGAGTATTGAATAGAGTACTGAATAGAGTATTATGTTAATTTATTGTTTTAAAAATTAAGTTTTTTTTATCTCCTTTAATTTTCTTGCACCTAAACAATACATCGCATCGTTGCCAAATTGTATTTAACTTTAAAGTCGAATTTTTTGAAAATCACGAGGTTTTTGCATTCATGTTATTTGAACTTTTTTGTTTGTTTTGACCTCCCCTATCAACCATTTAAATAATGACTATCATATCGTTTACACCCTGTATCTGTTATTGTAAAAGATATCAAAAAAAGTCATTACAAAAGTTGTAGATCTTTTTAAACTGTACATTTTAAAATTAGTTACATTCATACAGTGTCCCGTTTATCCGTAGTAGATCAAACTTATACTTTTTTAAATGGAACACCCTGTTTTTTATTTAAAAATTGAATTTAGCTCGTTTTCAGCTTTCCAAAAATATAATTTTGTATAACGTTATTCTGAGTGGTTTAAAAGTTATGACCACTTTTCCACGAAAATCGTACTAAGTTTACCACTCTGTAGAAACTAAATGGATTAAATTGAAAATAAATTTCAGGTTTTACAACATTGCAAATATCCTGAAAATGTACAAAATGAATATTTTTTGTCAATTTTAATCATACTGCTTACAGGGTGGATCCAAACGCAAAAGTAACATTTTCTCTGTTAATTTAAATGGATCACCCTATATTTTATATCGTTAACAGGAAGTATTTTTGAAGTACTTTCATTCTTAATAACCATTCCCTATATCTAAAGTTAACACTTTTCGAGATAATTCACTTAAAAAAAATTAGAACTTAAAATTGAAGAAAAAAAATGAAGCTTTCCTTTTTATAATAACCGAAGTTCTGAAAAATTGTCTATACCTATAATAAACCTTCCCTGTACCTAAATTAATAACTAATTTAATAACCTAACTAATAACCTAACTAATTTTTCGAGATATTTTAATATTCTTTAATTGGACTAAGCAGATACTAATCACTAATCGTGTATAGGTACTAATAACTTTATTGTGTCTATTGCGACTTATAAGAATTGCTAATACCAATTATTAATAATAATTTGGTCCATTTTGTTCGTTTAGAATAGTTTTTCATATTCTGGATTTTCGTATGCCGCGAAAGCCGTACGACTGAAACAATCTAGACATGTTTCAAAGGATTTTTTGTTAGATTGTATTCCTCCAGGAATCTCATGGCAAATCCTTTTGGCAAACCAACAAATTCTCTAAACTTTCTCCCAATACCCAAATCATAACCATCAATAATTGTTTAATAGAAAAATTCATTTTGTATTCTAATTTTTACAAATTGTGGAGGCAATACCGAAAAATCATACCAGATAGTATTTAATTGACATTTCTTACTTCTTTCTGTAACGTGTACTTCGATCAAAAAGAAACCTTAATTTTTTTTCTTCAGTATTCCTTTCTAGTTTTTTTTAATTGAAATATCTCAAAAAGTGTTAACTTTAGGTATAGGGAATGGTTATTAAGAATGAAAGTACTTCAAAAATACTTTCTGTTAACGATATAAAATATAGGGTGGTCCTATTGAAATAACAGAGAAAATATTACTTTTGCGTTTGGATCCACCCTGTAAGCATGATTAAAATTGACAAAAAATATTCATTTTGTACATTTTCAGGATATTTGCAATGTTGCAAAACCTGAAATTTATTTTCAATTCTATCCATTTAGTTTCTACAGAGTGGCTACAACTTAGTACGATTTTCGTGGAAAAGTGATCATAACTTTTAAACCACTCAGTATAACGTTATACAAAATTATATTTTTGGAAAGCTAAAAACGAGCTAAATTCAATTTTTAAATAAAAAACAGGGTGTTCCATTTAAAAAAGTATAAGTTTGATCTAATACGGAAAAACGGGACACTCTGTATGAATGTAACTAATTTTAAAATGTGCAGTTTAAAAAGATCTACAACTTTTGTAATGACGTTTTTTTAGATATCTTCTACAATAACAGATATATTGAGCTTTTTCATACTAATGTAGAGAAGCGACACTAGCTGTCGGTCCCTTTGATATCGTACGACCACTTTTCAGACAACTTAATACACTGAGAAAACATGCGTTTTCTACACTGAGCGAACTATAATTTCGAAATAAATGTTATAGTCCACGTGCAAATGTTACAATGTGATTTATTTATATTGGGATAGTTCGGGTAAATAGTAATGACGAGATTGCGGAACCAAAATATAATTCCTTATAATTAGTTATGTTTATACAAATATAAGTATAAAAGTAAAAGATTTGTTTAATATTTTATAATTTATTTATTTATAAGATTTACAAAAATTTTCAAAATCTTTCCAAATCCCGTATGATTTATTTATTAACTGTAAATATGAATAGGCAACATTTTTATCATTTTGATCAACCTTAAAGGTTCTTTCTCCTTTCTAATGGAAAGTCGAGAATTAATTACATTTTTTTATTTATTATGTCAAAATAAAGTAAACAAAATCTGCAGTTCATTGCTTATTAAATTTATTTAAATCAAAACAAACATATTTTTGACAAATTCACAAAATAATATATCAAAAATAAATAATCTTATATCTAAATCTAAATAATACTTATATATGTGACAAAATTTGTAGTTTCCTAACAATTTTTTTGACACATTTTGTATCTCTATTGGAATACTTAAGTGTATAAAAAATCTTCATTCGTATAAACAGTTTTTTTTATATCTACAGTTGGAAAGTTTTTGCAAGGATGCTCAAAAGAAATACTATCCGTTTTCTTAAATAAAACATTCGAAAATATCTCTTAACGCGTAACATTAAATGTTAAGCTCACGGACTAAACACAGCTGAGACTGACCGCGTGGTTTTGAGTTAAAAACAACTTACTTCGCACATGCGTCCTCCAAAACCATACCACCGAAAAACCCAAGCTGTCGCTTCTCTGTGTTCGCTATTCTCTGCTAATGTGCCATCCTGCTTTTAAATCGGTCGTTTTTTTTAACTTATTGAGTTTATTTTCCGCAGAGAGTATTTTAAAACCTCTCTCTAGTAGTTCATATTTGATTTCCTCTGTTTCGCAGGTTGGGCGTATATGTCTGGCTATGACTATTGTAGGCCTTTCCTGTTTATTTTCATACAGGGTGTCCCAATAGTGCGGTAAAGGCCATTTACTCAGTTATTATAATAGATACGAAAAAATGGTTAATAGGAAAAATGTTAAGCACCTTTAGGCGCATAATTTAAAATTATTTCGAAATATACAGGGTGGCCCATAAATCGAAGCCATATGCCATTGCTATTTGGCTTCATTCATAGTTTTTGTTAGTTCCCTTTAATCAGTGCATTGCTAACGTTTATTATTCATTAGGGTGGCATTAAAGTACCACGTACAATTCTCCTTTGGGCTTTCCCTGAATTGCTCTGGTGACGATTGAGCTTTACGATTTTTGTTTTTTGGCAGTAGCCATGCATTTTCACGGTTAATTATACTTCATCCATCCAAGCTATGGAGTAACTAAAACAAGTTTAGACGCTGGATCAACGCGTCATCATCAGTGATTGGTCAGCGTAAGGAGGCTTTTTTATTTTACCCAATAGATGCGAATGTGCTTCATGATCACGCGTTTAACCTTGTTGTGGTTACTCCGTTGGTTCGATGGATGAAGTATAGATCCTCTTCTTCGTCAGAGTTGGCCGGGCTATATGTAAACCTTGCATTTCTGCAAACGTAACTCACATGGTCTTTTGCTTTCTTACTATTGGCTAATGCATTGTCCAATCTCTCATTGCCATATGCCCAAACTAGCTGCATCTCTCTAATTCATCGACAACACTACCTCTTTCCCAGATAACAATTTAAGCTTGTAGCAAGCTTGCGTTACCTTGTCACGACACGGTTTGTACCCTTGTTGCAACCCAGGGTGTAAGGTTATTAAAAAGGTTTTGACAACCTTCCTAGTCAACATGTTAGAGGCTTGCTTTAAGGTTGTCATGACAAGGTTACTACGAAAAAAGCTGGCCACAGCCCTATTAAAAGGTAGCGACAAGCTTATGAAAAGGTTGCATAAATATTATTACTAAAAGCTCATTAAGGCAAGATTATGAAAAGGTTATGACAAGCTTGTGAAAAGGTTATAACAATGTTAAAGAAACGCTACGACAAGCTTTTTTCAAGGTTTTTGAAAAATGCTTATGACAAGCTTCTGAAAACATTACGACAAGCTTATGGAAAGGCATAAAATATATGAAAAAAAAAATGCAAATATTATATAATTGACATTTATTTTAATAAAATATGTATACAAATATAATCACTGTGTCCCGGATATGGATGAACAGCCATAACAAACATATTTTTGACGGGCCTCCCTGTAAAAAAAAATTAATGTGCCTATAATAATAAAAAAAAATTAATATACTCACTATTATAGTCCATTTGTTTAAAAATGAAATTGAAAAAATACTAAAATGTCGTTTCATAATCCCAACAAACATTTTTCAATTTGTGAATTGTCAGGCAAACCCGGGCGAACCCATCAAATGTGACCATGTGTTTTCAGTATTTCTTGGTACTCCGCTATTCTTTAGAATTTATGAGGGCATTGTGAAATTTTTAAAGTGTTCGAAAAGCTGTAATAAATAGTTTGAGTAAAATAATTGTAAAAAAACTTAACAGTTTATTTGTAAATTGCAAGTCTAAAAAACCGACGAGTCGAGCGAAGTTGTTTGGCTAAACATTGATCTAATTTGATTCTTCATCGTAAATTTAATCGAATAAATTAATGATAACTTTTCGTCTGGAATTATTCTGTTCATCATTCAATATTTTCATTTATATCCTTATGGAATCCTGTCTAATGCATCGGTCTTTTGGGACATTTTATTGAACGGTCTTCAAGTGATACCTATGAATAAACATTCTATTAATAATTACATAAGGCATAGATGATATCAAAATACAAAGAAATAATAAATATTTACCTTTGACTTACCTTTGAAAAATGAAGGTAGGTTAAAAAAACACGTTGGAAAATAACAGCAGCAAATTTTAAGCGAACATTTACAAAAGGCAATAGCGTCAGCAATGCAAGGCACAAAAATTAGAAACCCAACCCAACCAACCCCCTACCCTTTACATCGAGTAGCGATTAGACAAAATAAAACTTCATAGGAAATTATCGGATTGAATACAAAATGTCTTAAAATAATTAAAAAAAATATTTTTCACTTTTTGTAGTATGTAGGTACTTCAAATGTATGCCTTTTCATAGATGTATGTTGTGTAGTGTAACCTTTCCACAAGCTTATTAGTTTTACTTTTTCCCATGATTTTTGCATATTGCAAAATTAGCTATAAACCTTTTAGTATAATTTATAAGTAAACTTTAAAATAATCTTACATATAAACCTTATAAAAACGTGGTAACCGCAAGCCTATTTTAAGCAATAACCTTGCAATAACATTATTAAAAGCTTCTCATGTAAAGCTTGTCACGATGAGAAAATGACAATTTTATAAAGTTGTCAGAACAACCTTGCAATAATATTATTAAAAAAGCTTGTCACGAAAACCTTATTCCGACAATGCTATGACAATTGTATAAGGTTGTCAAAACAACCTTACTCTAAATTTTTTATAAGCTTGACTTGCAAAGCTTGTCATAGCCACTCTTGTTTTTTGCTTATTTGGACCAGACTGTTTTTCTTAAACATCACTTTTCCACGGTAATTGTTTATACACACGGTTGCGCAAGGCCACTCGCAGTATGACCTTGCTCGAATACAACGATTATTTTTCAGGAAATTATACCCTTCATTATGTTGCGAAGAACGAAAGAGGAATTATCGAATATGAGACTTTTGAACGTTCTACCAGAACGAACGTACGAAATGATTAATGTTCCTCTAGTCGCTGAAGAACACGAAATTTACAATAAAATTTTGATCCACTCCAAAACGTTGTTTGCCCAATTTCTCTCCCAGCAGGCCGAGAAACATGAAGAGAAGCGAATCGATATCAACTCAAAACCAAACGAGGTAGATTTCAAAAAGAAACAAAGCTTGCTCCAATTAAAGGAAATCAAAAAACATGAAATCTTAGTTAGGCTTCTCAGATTAAGACAGATTTGCAACCATCCTTCGTTGATAATTAATATGTTGAACAAAGATAACGACGTTAATGTATTGGGAGACGATATCGATGAATTGGAGGCTGAAATGGAGGGTTTTAATATACTAGACGAATTACAAAAGTGAGTATATACATATATATATATATATATATATATACAGTGTGTCCACGGATGGGGTTGCCTATAGAAGAAAAATTTTTATTATTCATTTTACGACAAAAGTTGTTTATAATCTAAAATAAAGATTGAATACAAATTTGCAAACTTAAATTCAAATTTTGTGTGTCCCTAGATAAAGTTGACCAGATAAGAAAAATGGTTATTATTAATTTTACAAATTATGAAATTCACATATCAAAACATTAAATAAGACGTATAGGGTGTTAGTAAATTAAGAAACAGGAAAAAATTTCAAGAAAGAACGAAAGAATTTTTATTATCTTACATAAAGAAAGAATTTATTTATTATGTTACATTATTATTTACAAAATCATTTTTTAATCATTTTCTCCTCTGGTCAACTCCATCCGTGGACACACAAAATTGGAATTTTAATTTGAAAATTTGTATTCCGGCTTTATTTTAGATTATAAACAACTTTCTTTTTTAAAAATTTTCTGTAAAATAAAAAATAATGGTACTTCCCTCTTGAGGTATTTTCATGTTCTCTTAATTTGACAACACCCTGTAGACCCAATTTAAGATTTTTCAGTGTTATTCTCATTTTTAAAAGCAAAAATTTTTATAAACAATGACTTTTTGTCGTAAAATGAATAATAAAAATTTTTCTTCTATAGGCAACCCCATCCGTGGACACACTGTACTATATAGATATAACCGAGTTGGGATGCGAGATTTTTAAATCATGAATTACTTGGGCGTACAGAGGTACATAGGGACACGTAAAAAAAATCGCTGGTTACGAAAATCGACCTCTTTTCGTTGGCTAAATTCGTTTTTTTGCCGTAAATCGAATGTAAAAATGTAAAATTTTTTGACAGTTTTCCAAAGAAATTATTTGATGGCCGTTGCCCGTTCGTTTGGTTTAAACGGAACTAACACCGAAATGACAGATTTTTCGTTATTTTGACAATTTCGTCGATTTTAATGGACGAGAATAAAAGAAATTGCAATAATTCGCAAAAATATACGTTTCTTGGTCATTTGTACTTACCAAAAACGGAGAAACGATCAAATTATTTTTAAAAAACCTACACTAATGACTGCAGCGATGAACAAACTTTAAACTGTCAAAGTTGTCATTTCCGTTACTACGGGATACGTTGACATTTAATTTGATGTACAGGGTGTTTTTTCATTAAGGAAATCGGAAAAATTGATATACGGGGTGGTTTTTTTTCTAAAGCGAACAATTATTTAAATTTAAATTATAATATAGTACAGGGTGACTTGTATTTGTAATTACATAAACCGAGCGAGCGAAGCGAGCGAGGATCCGGCTCTATAACTGTCTTTGCGTAGAACGCCGATAGGCGTTCGAGCTGCGGGTTAGTGCGGCAGAGCCCATTGATATTCACAGCGATATAGTCGAGCTCGCGCAGCGAGCGAGACCTTGGTTATTTAAAAAATTGATAAACGGAGTGTGATTAATTTCCAAACGAAAATTCAATCGTACCGAGCTCGCGAACCTAACGAGGATCCGGCTAGGAAACTAGCCGAAAATTTCTTGCGGCGAAGCCGCCACCGTAAAAAAGGGGGGTTGAAAGGGGGCGCAGCCCACTTTCCGAGCGTTTAGCGAGTCTATCGTAATAAATTCGGAGGTATTTGATTAATTATTTTTTAGTTTGTCATTATCGGATCATCCGAATGGAAACGATTCGCGCGAAGATATCAATCGAGGTGCGTCATGTTCGAAAGAGGCCGCCAATGCTTTAATAAAACCATCGCATCCGATATTTCAAACGAAGCGAATGAGTTCCAAAATGCGGGTGTTATTCAAACTTATTGAAGAAAAACTTTTAAACAACGATGATAAAGCAGTGATCGTGTCCCAATGGCCGAGTTTCTTGCGTTTAATAGCTCATCATTTGAAGGAACAAAATATACCGTTCTGTCAGTTAGATGGAAAAGTTCCTGTAGCTAAACGACAGGAAATCATTGATCAGTAAGTGGATTATTTATAACATTTTTTTTTATTTATTTATTAATTTTTTCACCAGTTAAAATTAAAATATAAGAATACTCATCGGGGGACAGTACTCCCTGTACGAGGAACTGGATACAAAAAAGAAAACCAATAAAATTAAAATTAACTCATACATAAATTCAACTATAATTCATAAATTTAAATAACTTAATAATCCCTAAATCCACCCTTTAAATAATATTAACTAAATAAAATTAATACCAAAACAATCAATATACACCGTTGGAAATTTAATTTCGCATAATAGGGAAATCAATGTTAAATTCTTAGCCGGCTGAAATACAGTCTACCAGTATACATTTCAATAGAACAAAGTACAAAGTTATTTGTGTTAGGTATGAGGTACAAAATTATTTAGAAACTACAATTAATAGGTTTTTTGGGGATATTTCAAAAAAGTGTATGTATCGGTAGGTACAGTTTTGAAAGAGCAACAAATCTTGTTAAAATAAGGAAAAAATAATTCAATTTTCTGCTAAAATTTCAGCTCAGTAATATGAGATGACATCTGTATGACAGGTTTGGCTATTGCTTAGCAGAAAGCGGTGGACTATTTTTTAGAGTTCTTTTATTTTCTGTTTTAAAATAATCTTAAATTTATTTTTGAAGTTTCCTTTTTATTATTTTCTTAGAATTTACTTTCTTTTTCAAGCCATTGTGTCAAAAAGACATATATACATAATTCTATTTTAATATTAGTGATATTTTTTCAATAAATTATCGTTTAAAAATTCTCATTTCTTTTTAATCGACTCGACGTTCACCCATCCGAACCCGTTTTGATACTGTCGAAGTGTCGAAACCGTCGAAATTATTTGATTTTTAATCTAACCGAACTAAATCGCGGTGTGAAGTCCAGTAGTACAATTAAATTTATTAGAATTTATCGCGACGTTCTATTGAAATGTATACTGGTAGACTGGATTTCAGCCGGCTAAGAATTTAACATTGATTTCCCTATTATGCGCGAATAATTTTCCAACAGTGTATAAATTCACAAGTTCAATACAAGAAATCAAAATTAGAATTCGCTTTTAACCCACTTTTTTAACCTTTTCCTAATATTACATTTCCCCTTTTCCAAAGCTTTCAGTTCATTTGGCAACTTAAATAGTTTTATTGCCACACTATGTCTGTTTTCAACAAAGCATTATTCATTTTTTCAAAATTGCCATGTCTACTATCTTAACAATTGGGTTTTTTATTTCTTCCTTTTTAATAATACATGTATTCGATAATTTTTTATTCAATATTTTTTCCACTTCATTAGCACTTTGCTCGTTCAAACAAGTTATTATTTCATTTTTATTTTTACAGTGCATTTTTGGTTTTTCTCACTCTTTCTTTATTTAGATAATGTGCAACTTGTTTTTTTAAGTCAATTATACCATCTCTATTATCCGGAACTTTCTTTGGTTTAGGCTTTTCATTACTGACAATAATGAATATGAAGTTTTATGTTCACTTTTATTTTTTACTAATTCTTTTAATATCTTATTTTTATCTTGTAGTTCAGCATTTAGTTATCTTAGTAGGTTATTTTCCATTTTGATGTTTTCATTTTTGTCATCCTCGTGTTCAATATTTGAAATTCATTCTTCGTAAAAGAAGCATTCTTTCAATCATTCTTGTCTTATTCTCTCCTTTTGCTTTGCCTTTATCTGCACTATTTATCGGCTATTTCACTTTAAAATTTTGATCCTTTTTTCTTCTCAAAGTCATTAATATAATAGACATCTTCACGTATTAAACACACGAATGTGGCTACTCTTTTGCGATATATGGCATTTATAAAATTTACCTTTTCCTCTACCATGCGGATGTTTCTCATCATCCGCCATCTTGTTGCTAATGATATTCCTTATTTTATAGGATTAACGACCCCAATAGACCAACTAAGATCCTGTTATTGTCTTTAAAAGCTGGAGGCGTTGGTTTAAATTTAATGGGTGCAAATCACTTGTTTATTATGGAACCTCATTGGAACCCCCAAATGGAAATTCAGGCCGTTGCTAGAGTGTATAGATTAGGCCAAGAGAAGCCTGTATTTATTTATAAACTCATAGCTGCGGAAACCATCGAAAAAGAAATTTTAGATATACAGGAAAAAAAAATTAATATTGCGGATAGCATGTTTACCACGGATGAAACCATGGATGAAAATGAGCTTACATTGCAAGATTTGGAACAATTATTCCAAATGTGATTTGAATATTCTACTATTATTTTACTACTTATTTACTTATTTACTTATTTACTTATTTACAACTTATTTACTACTTATTATTTTATATACAGTGCATTTCTTTAATGTCCCCCCCCCCTTTTTTTATTTTTTGAACGAATCAACTTAGAAAATTGAAATTTGGGATAATGAAACTAATGCATGATTACCATATACCTATTAGTACTATACTGCTAACTCCCTATCTATTCCATGAGAGAAAATCGTAGCGATTAAAGAGAGAGATCCGACCCTCCGTAGTGTGCTTAGTCGTTTATACGCAAGCGCGTTATTTTAAAAGGACCAATAGCGAGTAGCTGAGACCTAAAACGAAAAAAAGGAAAATAATACTTGAAATCGTGTTTAAATTCGGTAACCCGCCATATTTATACACGCAAGTCGAAGTCGATTTTAAAAATATATTAACAAAATTATCAAATAATGAAATAATTTTTGCAATCACTTTCAAATCATTTTAAAATTATTATCAAAAAATTAAAATAATTCAAAAAAATTGAATTAGGTATCTCCCTAAAATTTTATACTTGTTAATTTAAAAAAAATAAATTCTTTGACTTAAAATTTATTAAATTAATTGTGTTTGACCTTATTTTGCAAAATTAATATTTTTCGAAAAAATATAACAAATTTGAAATATTCGATAATTTTTTCAATGAGTGTTTACATATTTTTATTGTATATTGAATTTTTACTAAATTAAACCAAACGGAACTTACTTTCTGGACGTACCTATATTTATAATTTTCAAGAAAATAAAACTCAGATAAAATATTTACATTTTATTGGTTACAAAATAAAATTAATTTAGTGTACTTATTTTTAATGTATGTATCTTTGACCGATGCTAATTTAGCTACGTGATGTAGCCTAATTTTGAGAAAAACATCAATAATTGCTTTTATTAATTGTTGTACATGGTTTTCCAGCGGATCCTGCTCAATTATGTGTTCTTTCATTTCTTTATAATTAAAAACTTTTTTAAAACTTAAACTAAATATTTTTGTGGCCAAGATTAAATTTATATTTTTTTTATTAAAATTTGTTGTCTGTCTAATGACTCTCACCTATTTTACATATATATGTGCAGTCTTCTGCGGGATAAGAAAGTTTATTATTTTTGTTTTTTATCCCTATTAAAATAATTTTTTTGTCTGAAAACAATTGTTCTTTACAAAAATCACAAGTGATACATTTGCTTAGTTTATTTGCGATATATCCACTGATGTATCCAACAACGTCTTCTATATAAGAATTTAATTCCCACATTGTGGTTATATAATCGTGGTCGAATACATCGGCAGTTACATTGTCTTCTATTATTGTATTATTACACAATCGTTTTGAACTTACGTCTAGTATATCTATTCCATCCGCCAAACAATTTGAATTTGTAAAAAAAGTTTCATTTTTGATTAATAGTCTTTTAAGCACTTTCAAATTACACACAATAAAAATCACTTAAATAGACGATATGCACAACGGTGAAAAATAAAAATGGCTTCCACTCTCCAATTTCCACCTAAATGAAAGCTAGCACGTTTCATTTGCTCTGTCAAAAGTAGCCAATCAAGAAATCTTTCACTTGAGCATGCGCATAAATAAGCAGGCACACCACAGTATAATGTTTGTTACGGGTTTTAGACCGTAGTAAGCGGTATAGTACTAATAGGTATATGATGATTACTATATTTTGGAGTAAAATTGACAGATGAAAATTTCAAGATGGCGACTGGGCGCTATCTTGGGAAATAAATTTAAATGGAAAGGGGGGTCTTGTGATACATCATTTTGAAGCTCCTGACAAATACTCTACAACCCTGGAATATAAAGTCAATATCTGCACCCATTTCAAAATGGCGGAACATTTAATAATTACCTGAATACAAACAAATTAATATCAATTTTTCTAGAAATATTTGTTTTTATATGCCAAATAGCAATCCCAACAAACCGATAAGGTTTGACAGGTTATTTTTGGTTAAAAAAAATTCCAAAAAATTTTAGTACGTCAACGAACATTAATTGTTTAGTCAAAATATTCTCATTTAGTTTTTGGTTTTCCTAGTGTTCATAATATTCTCTTTAGTTTTCGATTTTCCTGGTGTTCAAAATATTTTCATTTAGTTTTCGGTTGTTTAGTTCTCATTGTAGTTAGGTACCGATATGGATAAGGATTCGATATGGATATTGTACTCCAACAAGATGGAGCACCACCACATTACTCCAGACAAGTAAGGAACTATTTGGATGCTATTTCCCATGGTCGTTAGATTGATCGTCGAGGTCCTACGGAATGGCCAGCCCGCTCGCCAGATTTGACACCTTTAGACTTTTTTATGGGGCTATTTGAAGCAAAAAGCTTCAATATTGGATATACGAGAAATAATTACAGATATTTGTAGAAATATCGACGTTACTATGTTCAAAAATGTTCGGATAGGCTGTTCTTTTATCAAGAAGTTCAAGGCAACCATTACGAGCACTTTTTGAACTGAACTCAGCTTATTTCCTCAAATTATGACGTTAAACGTCGATGTATTCAGGTAATTAATAAATGTCCGCCATTTTGTAGCACGTGCAAATATTGACTTTATATTCCAGGGTTGTAGAGTATTTGTCAGGAGCTTCAAAATGATGTATCACAAGACCCCCCTTTCCATTTAAATGTATTTCACAATATGGCGCCCAGTCGCCATCTTGAAATTTTCATGTGTCAATTTTACTCCAAAATATAGTAATCATGCATTAGTTTCATTATCCCAAATTTCAATTTTCTAAGTTGATCCGTTCAAAAAATAAAAAGGATGGGGGACATTAAAGAAATGCACTGTACGTTCTATATTTTTACTATACAATATTTTTCTATACAATTCGAAGAAGTGAGGTTAAGTGTGCTATTAAAATAAATACCGACAATGAGATAGTTGTAGTGCTCCCACGCATTTAAACGAAGAACGTGAAGAACGACTCTTCGCATCAGAGATGAGCATAGACCTATTAAGTATGGACGCGGCACTATCGTTATTTTAAGGTTATTCAGCGTTCCCAATGATAGAGAGAGAGGTCCGTGAGAGATGGAGCTAGTTTGGGCTAAAAGTAGGCGGGATCAAAAAAAATATAAAATATATACAGGGTGCGTGGAAAAGGGCTATTAATCTGTTAAAATATTTATACGCTTAATATTTAAATATTGTTTTTATCTTGGTATCCACTTGGACAGAAGAATGACCTGGAAGAAGTATATTTTTTACAAGAAAAAGCAGTTAGGTCTTAAATTGCGAAATTTGTACTGGCTAATAGGTAGGATGTTCCAATTAACAATACAAAATAAGAACTATATTTGCAAATGCGTGGGAATTTAGGCTCAGCTGAAAAATGAATTTTGCTCGGTAAAAAAATAATAAATCACAATACCCTCCGCTGCACTCCTCAACCCTATTCTACCATAAGCTGCCCTCCTCTACCCCAGCTACCTTGCATATCTGAAAACGTTACTCACGTGGTCTTTTGCTTTCTTACTATTGGCTAAAGCATTGTCCAATCTCTCATTGCCATTTGCCCAAACTAGCTGCATCTCTCTCATTCATCGACAACACTACCTCTTTGTCTAAACCGCGTCCATAGTTAATAGCAGGGTATGGGAACTCGTGGCTACTGGCTCCACCTGTTTCGAGCGTCCATGAAACACCACTGCGCATGTTTTGCTATAGATGGCAGTGTATGAAAATGGCCTAGTAAAGTCCCCGCCAAGTTAGTATGTTAGCTATGTAAAGTCCATAGGTCCTATTGGTCCGTTCCGCCCTTTATGGCCGGATTCGCGTTTTTATCTGTATAAAACACGTGTATGAAACAGACTTAACGACTTCCTTCGTATTTTCTGTCGTTTTTGAGTTTTTGGTTATTTTATGCCATTTATGGTTTAACTTCGGACATTTGTGTCTTTATTGTATTTTTACGTGCGTATTGTGAGTTGAATAATGCTATCGGAATTCGTTACAGTTAGTTATCCTTATTACTGTTTATTAATAGGAACCGTTCTAATAGGTAGTACTGAATTATTTAAAAGGGCCCATGACGAGTATCAAAGAAGAATACCTAAATTTAAAAAATATACCTTGTGAATTAGACCATTGTAGAATATACCTATTTTAGCTATAGAAGATTGTTGTTTCTTTTATTTTTTCTTCTTCAAATCTACAATTTCATAATAAATTTAGAGGAATTCTTTTTAACTGACCTACTCATTTTACACTAACTACATTTATAAAGTAAAATGTTTATTTCAGTAAAAAGGGTTTCCCTCTAAATTTATTATGAAATTCTTATTTAAAAAGTAATAATTGTGTACGCAAGATTTTTAAATTTTGGCGCCAATTGCAGAACACTGTAAGTATAATTAGTATTCTGCATTTAATGTATAGACGCGCGTCACAGGTGTCGTTAGTAAAAAAATTGAGTTTCCCATCTATAGTGTAGGTTATCTGTGGTTAATAGGTCTATGGAGATGAGAGTTAACATAACCTTAAATTAAATATATCTGTCACATCAAGATTTTCATTTCAACCCGGGAACGTTGCAACAGGTTGGCTTGTGACGTCATTGCCTAGCGAGTGCGAATGTCCTTTACGTAGTTAAATCAACTCTTACCAAACAGTCACCACCACAAATCTTATGAATGCAGTTTCGAAATTGAATATCGTCTTTACGACTTTAGGAACACCAATTATGCTGACTTTATTATCTTTTTGCTTTCGTCGACTGTCAATTGGTGCTAAATAAGTTGGACATTACTTAATTGAACAGCAATAGTGCTGTTTTATTACTTTCTCTGAATATGACCATTGACTGTTATATACCGTATGTCCGAATTATTCCGCTGCAAACATTAGAATTAGAATCTCAATCAATACTATAACTTAGTAAAGAACAGAAACTTGTTTATCGGTTGCCGGCCGATATTAGAATTCGTCAATTCGCTTCGCTTCGTCCACTAGCGGGGATAGCGGGCGTGATTATTTTGTATGCTCTCTTTATTCCTTACATAGCAAAAGTTCAATAAGCTATCTCATTATTCTCATTGTATGCTTGCAGCGGATCAATTCGTACACCCTGTAGACTGTTTCACAGTCTGTTCAACATTCGATTTCACCGCATAAATTATGGAGCATGTTCATCGCTGAACAGATATTTAAAGTTATTCAATAAAGTTAATCAAGTAACTTCGGTTGGTATTTATATTTTTCATTTGGTAGTTGGTGTTAATTTGTTCATTTGACAATTTTTTGATATGTTAACTTGATTTCTTAACTTCATTTCTTATATTTTTTGTTATTGTAATAAATATTTTATTTTGTTAATGGGAAATTCCCGCAAATAAATAAATTTTTATATTTTTGATTAAATAATTTTTAATATTGTATTATATAATTGTTGTATAATTATACGGGGTGTCCCTAAAAGTGTGTGAAATCTCTCGGATCCATATAGAACATCCAAAAAATAAAATGAGAAGTTCCTACAAAGTTTTTCCCTACAAGTCTTCGTTGTATCCCAAATATCGAAGAAAAGGTTAGTCTAATCACACGCTTATATTCCATTTACTTAGTTTAATAACAAGAAGGTAGATACAATCTATTACTAAAAATATGCATCGTAATGTCTGGCTATCGTGTGTGTCAACTGTCATTGCCCAGTGCTGACAACTTGACACAACACCTTCACTACGATGATATCGTTCCTAAAGGACGCCGCTGGAAATAGGTTTTCCTCAAATATCTTTTAAAGTCTCTACTTGATCTAATTTAATATAAATCTTATGATAATATGATGGAAAATGGATCTGAAAATATGATGGACACTATTAAAAAACCTCACAAAATAGTGTCTTTGAAACATAGCTTTTTTAGTTTACCAGTGCTGGGCTAAGGTTTACACCTTAATGCCTAAATGTAGGTAGGAAAGTATACCGATTAGTACATATTTATATTTTGTAATCGGAATACGTGTAAATTTTAATACATCATTAAAATAAAAGTGAATCATCAAAATTGACCATCAAAATTGATCACCAGAATTGATCATCAAAATGTATTGATGTCAAAGTGAGGCGCTGAATACGGGCCAATGTCTTTGGGTTAAATAGATTTTTGTGATTATATACTTTGATGATTTATTTGATTGTTTTAGTTCTTAGTGTTTTTTTCAGTTTAGTAAGTTCTTATGTTAGTGATGTTCTGGAACAATTAATTGCAATATTGGCAATACCACACGCGTTCAATGGGATTATTAATAAAAAATAACTATGAACTTACTATTTTTCCTCACTATTTTTCAACAACAAAATAGGTGAGCTAATATTTCTTTAGAGTTTAAAATTTATTTTCTTTTATTGCTTGAAAATCCGGGTTTATTTTTATAATTTATCCATGATTTTAAAAATTTAGAGATCATATGAAATAAATAAGTAATAAACAAATTCGAATAAGATATTACTCTTAATTTATAAATAATTATTTTGTCGATTCTAACCTATGATGAGCGCGATCTATGGCGCGGTCGAGGGATTTCAACCGATCTAAAGGACTGCATTTCTTTGAAATAAACTAGGCGGCTTAAGTTAGGGATAATGGCCCGTATTCAGCGCATTACATTAACCTTAGCGTGTCTCTAAAGTCGCGTCTCTAGTCCTTAGTTACTCCATAACAACAATGTAAAACTGTCAAGTTAAAGACGCGACTTTAGAGTCACTCTAAAGTTAAAGTGAGGCGCTGAATACGGGCCATTGTCAATAAATTATAAACGGCTTAAAAATTTATTATTATTTATTTTTAAAATTTAGAGTAATTAACAAAAAAACATTATTCCCT